TGTATATAGTAATTTTAATCAAATTATTTTAATAATTTAATTAAAATTACTATATACAACTATGTTTGCAGGTGAAGAAAAACATGTGAATGAAAAAGAAAATAGAAACTTTCTTGCTGGTATGGAGCTTATTGGTTTCTTCAACACTGTTATTGCATCCCACTTAGAAAATGTAGCTGTCAAAGAAATCCAGGATGGTATCTACTTTACTATCATAGTCGATGGCACTCCCAATATATCTTAAACTGAGCAAATAACCTTTGTTATTTGTTTTCTCCTTTATGAAAGAGAAACTAATTGCTGGCAAACCAAATAATGGTGTTGAACCTTTCGAAATGAAGGGAGTTAATATAGCTAAACTTATCACTGATGCAATTTCAAGATTAGGTATGGATGTTTGAAACAGTTGCGGCAGGGACATGATAATCACTCAATATGTCAGGTGCTTAGGGAGCTCAAGCCTTTTTAAGACAAAATTATTAGGAAGCTCCAATATGTCAGGAGCTAAGGGAGCTCAAGCCTTTTTAAGACAAAATTATTAGGAAGCTCTGTATGTTCCTTGTAGTGCTCACAGCTCACAGTCTGATTTTGGCTGGTGTACATGTAGTTGAACCAGCCATTGTAATCAAAGTATTTTTTGAAAATTTAGAATCTTGGTACATATTTTTTAGTGCAAATCTTGCCCGATGGAAGATCCTCACAAGAGCGACAGGAATTTCACTGCATAGTCTTTCTATGACAAGATAAAGCTCTTATACTGACTTGATCAAACTACTTGCCAAGAGGCTGAGAGAAATGTTGGCAGCTCTTAAACATGCCATTAAAAACTTGGATCTAACCAGTGAGCAGCTCAGTCAAGCTAGAGACAAAAAAATGATTATCATCTTTTGATTTTCTATTGTTAGTTACAATTTGGTACAAAACCCGTTACTGTTGTTAACAAAGTTATATATATATATATAAATATATATATATATATATATATATATATATATATATATATATATATATATATATATATCCTTATAGTGTAGTCGATATATATATATATGCAAGTTATATATATATATATATATATATATATATATATATATATATATATATATATATATAACTTGCAAGGCTTTTGTTAAAACTAAGGCAATCACGGATTAAAACTGAAAATTCAATTCTGATAAAAAAAATCTTTAGGGTGTGTTTTGATGTCTGATGGATGGTTAGATGTTTGTAATGATAATCAGATACAGTTTCTTCTTTCTACACCATAATGGGTATTTATCAAGTCATTTTATCCCGATAGCAACCGTCATGGAGTATATTTGGATATTGTCAACTCTGTAATTAAGGAAATTCATGTTAAACCTATTGCCTTTATATCAGACCATGCATCAAATATGACAAAGGCATGGAAGCTGATACAAAATGATCATCCAGAAATTTTTTGTTATTGGTGTGGCGCACATGCGCTGATAGTCCTGGCTACAGCTATACTTAAGATTCCATCTATTCAGTTTAACCAGTTTAATCTTTCTAAAGAAGCAACTTTTAAAGCATGTGCTGTTAGAACATCAAACGAAATTGAAAAAGTCTAAATTGGTTTGCCTACAAAGTATGTCAAGAAGATGGTCAAATGCATTTACAATGATCAAAAGAAATAATGACCTACAACATGTTTTGCATATTTCAATTTTAAATGTTTCAAATGTTTTAAATACTTTGAATGCTTTTATGTTATATACGCACATGATAAAGCAAAACTAAATTCTGTGAAGAACACTTTACAAGATACTGTTTCATTTTGGTCAATGAGAGTGTTTTGCGAAAAACTACTGGCATCACTTTCAAACGCAGTTAATTTGCAAAGGGAGATTGTGCATCTGTAATACCTTGTTTATGGAACTACATTCCCAACAACTTCAAAGAAGTGTTATTAAATAGTGACTGTGAAATTCCTTAAGATTAAATAATGTTGAAAGGCGTAGAAAATTCAGTGTGCATGATATTTAAAAAGGAACAAATCTGTTGTATCCTAGATTCATGGGAAATGTTGTATTTAAGCTGCTACTATTACCAGCCCCATCAGTCGCAGTTCACTACAGCAATAAAGAATACGCACTGCAAAAAACAAAGAAGCGCAACAGACTGCCTAATGCTCTAAACACTAGAGTCAGTGTAACAGTAATTATTTGTCAACCTAAACCTTTTAGATGTCGGCATCAGATCAGCAAAAAAATTTGATACAAAGGTCTTCACCGTAAAACATAGAAACGAGGTTGGCAATTTTTTGCTGAGCTCAAACACTTTACCACAACACAGGTCAGCAGTTAGGTGCTAATCCTAATTCTGAGAGTTGGTGTAACAGCAAAACACTCAGTGTACCAGTATAACAGCCAGTGAACCAGTATAACAGTCAGTATACCAGTGTAAGAATCAGTATAGCAAAAAAAAAAAAAAAAAAATAAAAAAAAAGAGTAGTCTTCTTCAAGTGTAGAGTTTTCAGGGAGTTGTGTGGGTTGTGTGTAGGGTTTCAGTGTAGGGTTTCAGGGAGTGAGTACAGTAAAAATAAAAAATTGAAAAAAAAAATATATATATATATATAGTACCAGAAACTCTTCTTTGCTCTTCCTGAAGCTGATTGGAAAACTCTTTTCTTTTTTCAGTATAAATTTTGAGCAATTCAATTAATCCTTTATCCTTTATATCATTTCGATTCAAAGTTACTAAAAAGCAAATTTTTAGAAAATAATTAGCTTTTAAAATTTTGAAAACTCAAATTCTTTTTTAAAGTTTTAACTTTCTTTTAGAAAACCATAAATGACATACATTTATTACAAAGTGAGGACATGATTTTTATGTCCTCGGGTAAGTGCGACCCTTGGAATTAGGAAAATTAAGGTCTGCAATAATTTGCCGACCTCAATCTTTTAGAGGTTGGCATTAGGTCGGCAAATACAAAGGTCTTACCATAAAACATCAAAATGAGGTCGGTAAAACCAAATTTTTTTTGGCGACCACAAACATGTTTAGGTTGACAGTTAGGTCAGCATTGCCAAATGCCGACCCTAATTCCGAGGGTTGGGTAAGTGATAATAAAACCCCTCAATACACCTGTATCAATCATTTAAGTATCCAAAACCAAATTACAAAAATCATGTATCTCTCAACAATGAAATTGCAACAATGCAATTTGACTGCACTATTGCAATTTGATTGCAACAATTCAATTAAATTACATTTTGGAGCAAGCAACAAAAAAATATTATTTCAGGCATTATATAAAAATATAAAACAAATAATGAATGGAGAATTAAAAACAGTTGTTCAAGTTGATAAATTGTTTTAAAGTAAACCTGAAATATGGACAGAGCCATTCCATATACCAGCATCCAAAATAATCACATCACAGCCTCACTTGAAGTCATAAATCATAGTATAAAATTATAATGATTACAAGTATGAAAAATTATATTTGATCATTTCCAATTAAATTAAACTTGAACTAATGAATACATGGTTGTGATGTGATTATTGTGCAGGATTAGGTAACTATAATAAATTTAAAGCTTTTAACAACAATAAGACTGAGATTAAAAAAACATGCATTTGAAGAAACAACTTGAAGTTTCTTTACCAACTCTTCTGCCGCTAGCCTGAAAAGAATGAGATTTAAACAGATTCCAAACATTGGGATTGTGTTGTTATTGCTCTAACTACATTTATGTCTAAAAACTAAAACAAACTGCATGAAAGCTGTTCATTCAAAATAAGGAAATATTTCCTCTGTGATTCAGGCTGCCAATGACATTATTGATAATAATTGACTTTCTAGTTTGTTTAATGAACCTAATACAAACATTACTCTAATAAAAATTACTAATTTTTTGTACACAAACTATCTATGTACACTCCACTGTGCCAAAGGCATATGCTAAATCTGTATATATATATATATATATATATATATATATATATATATATATATATATATATATATATATATATATATATATATATACATTTATGTATAGGCACAGCAGAGTGTACATAGATAGAATGATATAGGTATCGCATATGCTATCAGTCAATATACATAAAAATAAAAATAAAGAAATAAAGAAAAAATCATAAAAAAATATAATTAATGGGTGCTCACTATGTTTTTAAACTAATTTAAAAGGGTGTTACTCTATTATTTTGTCAATAAAATTTAATTCAGTAAAGAGTTTAAAAAATGGTAAATTCTAAGTAAAGACTGATAACTTTCTATTTTCAATAATATTATTACATCTTATAATAAAAATTATGTGTTGCTTTATAAAGTTTATAGAGGCATTTTTGTATTCTCAGACAAAGTTGATGGAGTGATTTAACTTCCCAGCCATTGTCATGTGTTTTCCCATTTTAGTATAGACCAAAATTCGTCAATTTTCCAAGCCTCTGGCAAATTTAGTAAGGTTACCTTGTTTATTGACATACTCAATAGAATTTAAAGTAGCCTAAAATGGATACTGCATAATGTGAACTTACAAGATTGGTCCATTAAAATTTTGATGCTTTAAGCCTATTTAAGGTATCATGATATTAGAGGAACTTTTTATTTATTTGCGATAAAGTTTTAGTAAACAAATCTTGCTCCTAAAATGTCATTCTAAAACATACAATCTTATATATGGAACATAAAAACAAGTTATCAATAAAAAAATTCCATTAAAATTAAAAGAGCCTCAAATACTGAATGCAACAGTCAGAAATATGCAAACAGCAATGGTCAGAAGGGAATGACATCATTTATAAATGGTTCTTCAAAATAATTAAAGTTTTGTTCTTCTAAAGTTTCCATGCTATATAAGGTTTTTCAAAAATACTGTTTTCAAAGCATGAAAGTTATTTTAAACAACAAAAGAATATATATATATATATATATATAAATATTTTTTAACACAAAATGTTGTTTTAATTACGGCGATAATAATTATCCACTTAGTTTTCTACATTTCCAAAAAGTATTCATAAATTTTTCTAAATTCTCCTAAACATTTGATCTTCGTTTAAAATCTATTACTACTATATTTTTAAGCGATAGTATCAATGCTAATATAAACTAGCTTTTTCATACATAATGTAAAGTTACTAAATTACTTACCACTATAAAACATAGCATCTATATATTTGCTTCAAATTAAGCATATATGGTAAAATCCCGGATTAATGGGCTGTTTCAAAAAAATCTTGCATGGGTCCTTTGGAACCAGCATGCCCCTGCAAATACTTACACTGCCACCGTCATCTTGCTACCTCGGTACAACAAAGCAACTTTACTTTTCAAATTTAAATTTTTAAATAAATATACACACATACATATACATATATAACTTATAATACATATTTAGATAATCTGTCTAACATCATACTGAAATCCCTACTGCCGAGGGCTTCATTTCATACATTGACTGACTAAATAGGTAGAACATATATATATATATATATATATATATATATATATATATATATATATATATATATATATATTTATATATATATATATATATATTTATACATATATATATATATATTTATATATATATATATATGCATATATGTACATATACACATATGTATACATATATATATGCATGCATGTATATATATATATATATATATATATATATATATATATATATATATATATATATATATATATATATATATATATATATATATATATTTGTAAAAAAAACTTTTTCAAAAAATATTTTTACAATCGAAAAATATTATAATTTTTCAATAGTTTAATTTTACTTTTTAAATAAACAACTATTTAAATAAAATTTGTTCATTTATTAAACAATCAGAAGTAATTTGTGAAAGCATTTTGCATAACTGTAATAAAATGTAGGGATGTACCGAAGCTAAGATTTTGCTGAAGCCGAAGCTTTGGCTGAAGTCACTCTGCCGAAGCCAAAGCTTCAGCCGGAGCCAAAGCTAAAATTTGCTATCTTGCAGATCTAGCTACCTAGGGATGATGTTATTTGCTGAAAAATATTTTTTAACATTTTACTACAATTATTATATGCACTGCATGTAGTAAATTATATGTACTGCATTTATAAGTATTTTAGCGCACAAGGTATTTTACTATATCAAATCATCAAGGTTTTTTTTTTAATTACGCAAAGTCATAGTATTTTAGGATGTAGCAATACCTTGTTTGAACAAATTTAATATTACATGAAAAAAAGATGATTAGCTAACTAGTAATTACTAATTACAAATTAGTAGTTAAACATTATATTAGTTTGTACTTTGCATTATAATAAAATTACCATTTAGTAATTACCATAAATTAGAGTAAATGAGGGAGGTTGTTTTTATTATACTTATTAGTTTATTATGTTTAAATTAATTATCCATTGTTATAAATCAGGCAAACTATAGTTTAAAAACGTAATCTGTTCTCCATGCTCAGACAACAGCCTGTTTCTTTTGGCTTAAAATATGTTTGCCGTTGTGCTGAATAGAGGTTCACTCTTTACGGATGAAAAAAGTGCGCACAAAATTTTCATTGGAAACCTTGCCAAATCCCACTTGTTAGTGTCTTTATTGGAGCAGGTGTAATTGTAAACACCCCACCACTTATAAAGGCATTCATTTTTTAGTAATGTTGATAGGCTAAAGTTTAAGTTGACTTCATCCATGTTGAATCAAAACTATGAATCAATTTAAAGTTTAAACTAATATTTTAAATCTCTAATCAAGTAAGAAAAAAAGAATACTCTTAGTCAACTTGTAAATAAACATTTATAGTTGATAAATAATTATGTTTTGCATGGAAAATTAAAAGTATTAAATGCAACCAGACCTGTAACTATAGCCTCCCTGTATATAGTTTGTGCCTGCTTGCAGCAATCTTTCCATAATATAAATAATATAATTTTGTCCACAGCAATTCTGGTGTGCAAATAAACCTGTAAATAAATTTCTATTAACAGGGCTGAATGCAACATAATTAATTTGAAAATTAACATCAATTTTTAATTATATTTGTAATAAATAAAAAAAATTACAATTTTATTTAGATATTTTTTATTCGTACCATTTTCCTTTTGAATTTTGAGTTTTTCTTCTAGGATTTTTACTATTATACTTTTTTTCCCCTCCATCAGTGTTTTCATATTTCTGTGAAGCATTTTGATTTATACCCATTTTCTCTAATAAGCTATATAAGCCCATGCTTTCTTTTTTGATTGGATCATTATGATCGGAGTCTTTAACAAAATTAACTTCTTTTGCTTGTTGTAAGTGATCATTTACAACAAGCAAGCAAATTTTATATCAAGGGTACTACCATTTTCATTTTGAGTATCGATACTCCAAATGAAAGCAGTAGTACTCTATATAAAATTTCCTTAAATATGCTATGATCTGTTTCTTAAAATTTTTTATCTAAAACAGGGTTTGAGAATCATTGCAATTTTCAGGCGAGCATTATTTTTGTATTTA